CTCGGACTATCAGGGTGGTCGCGCTTCTGTCACATGACGACACTCAGTCCTTCAAGCACACACACACACACACAGGTCAAACCAGAGCTGATCGAGTGTGTTTATGACTCAGCATCAGGATCACACACACACACACGCAGAACTCTATCAAACTAACCCGCTCATATCGGTTCTGAAACGAGCTGATGACAGAGATGAAGCGTGACTGAACAGAACCAGCCGATGATCCACAACCACAGACGTCTAGACAACAGCTGAGGGTTTCACTGCCACAAATCACAGCACAATCAAGCCAACATGTGAGCGTTTGTGATGTTTGTAAATGTGACGGTCTGCAGCGAGCGGGAATTCTGCAGATCATTAAGTCGTCATTTATCAGCGTCTCTCACCAGCAAACACAATGCAGCACATTCACACTGGTAACCAGCGCTCGAAGCCCAGCAACAGTGCTTCATTACCATAGCCTACCACCAGGAAGATGCCGCGCCATTGGCCAGCCGGCTAAAGCGGCAGCCAATCAGGAAAGGGTATGCAAATAACCCACTTTTGTTGCTAGGGCAAAGCTGCGAGGCTCCGTCCAATAGGAAAACGGGTAAGAGGCATGAAATTGAATTGCACTTTGACACATTTCCCAGCACAGTTTAACACAGTATTTGCTGACAGAAAAGCTCTCGGGTGAGGAACCCGGAATCAGTTTGTCTGAGAGACCCCGGAGACAGGCCTTTATCCCCGAACATCTGTAGCCTCCTCTAAAACACTGGTGTGTGATGGGAAGCAAAAGGGAGAGATGTGGCACACAGTCCGAGAGCCTGCGTTTACATGATCATGTGTGTGTGTGTGTGTGTGCGCAAACGCACCTGTGGGTTAGTGAGAGGCTCACCTGTATGCATCGTCTTCTGACAAATCTCATATCATTGTGACAGGGGAGTCCATCTGCAAACCACAGCCCACTGCGAGAACAGCAGACAGTGAGGAACACATACTGTACCTGTGTGTGTGTGTGTGTGTGAGACATCAGCGTACCTGAAGCGACTCGCGAGTGGTTTCCAGGTGAGAACAGCCCTGGTGTTTCAGCAGGGTCTTGCCGTGTTTCGAGATGGTTGAGTTGATCTTCAACTTGCACAACCATTGGTGAAGATCTGCCGTGAAATTAATCCACACACACACACTCAATCAGTTTAGGAGTGCATACTAACTAACCAGCAATTAAGCACAATAACATATAATCATACACTGTGTTTACGTGTGCCCAGAGACAGCAAACGCACATTAGATCCTGCAGCCCGTGTAAACACAACCACAAGACTCACTCAAACATCAGTCTAATCTACACGATGAAGAAGAGCTCGTCATCAACATCATCAGGACCTCCAGTTAACGGCAAATTTCTACACAAGGTTAAGCTTGTACTGCTAATTCTCCAGTCTGACACTTGCACGACTGCGATTGTTTGATGCTGGAAATCAGTTTCGCGCACATGACGGCAATCAAAGCTGTCAAAACACTGGCTCGCGTTAACGTTAGTTAGCCTAGCATGCTAACGACACAACACCCGCACTGACCCGCGCGGACAGCGGCAGACACTCGGCCAGTCGCCCGGGAGAGACGAGCTTGAGCACTGAATAAACTCCTCATCTGTGAAACCTTCACACGGAGCTGTCGACGCCGAGGCTAGCTGGACATTAGCTGCCCGGGCCTGCGAACGGACCGAAGCCAGAACGGAGCGGGCGAGAAAACAGCGCCGTTACTTCGACGAGCCTCCGAAAACGCACAGAACGCGTCCGATCTCGCCCGGATTGAGACGCGGCGAGCGGGGAACGAGGCGTCGGGATCGCTGAGGGAAGCTAACCGTTAGCCGACGCGCTAGCCGTCATCACTCACCGTGTCGCGCGCGTTTCTTTCTGACGAGAGGAGTGAAAATCCTCCGGGAGAATCCGCAGTAATTCCCAGCCGTGTTCCTCAGGAATCCCTTTCCCAAAGCGTGTCGGATGCAAAGCCTCACAGAACACACACAGAACAGCGAGAACTCTCTCGGTGAGCGTCGGCGCGCTCCGCGGTCCCGTCCGTCAGTCACTCATCCTGCGCGCGCGCCGCCGCTGGCCCTGGACAAAATGGCGCGCACGCGCGCGCGCTGCAAACCCGCGCACAGGACTTGCGCACTAAACTCGCCACACTGGGCTGTTTGTCATCGATACGACGCGCGAATCGACGATCGATTTCTCAATCGCTATCGAGCGCTTCGGTAACGGCGGTCATCGGTCCTTTGAAGGGAGAAAAAAAGTCAGGAACAAAATGGAAGCCGACTGAGAAGGTTTCCATGACGACTGTCCATCACACGGCCAAGTTCCCGGATGACCTCATGACGCAGGAACCGTTCTCGGGGTTGTCATGGAAACTGCCAATCAATTTTACGTTTCTTAGGGCGAAGCGAAAGTGAAGGTACGTGCGCGATATTACACACACTGTAAATATAATAAAGCTCGTTTGACCAGATATTACTGTAAACACACTTTTTGTGCTTTCATACATCGTCGTGTTTCTGTTTTTCTACTCAGGGCGCAGGATTAGTTCTGGTGAACGTAGTAAAGTTTGTAGTTTTTATGCAAAGCAACGAAGGTTTTGCTAATAATATAATGATTATAAGTACGTTTACACAACAATAAAACTCTATATATATCTAAAGAGGTTTAATAACGGTTAACTCGGACACGCCTCTCCCGGCAACGTCAGAGATCATATGACAGCGACGCGGAAGAGAATGCGCGGATTGAGAAGATGAGCGTTTCACTGGATATCAGGCTGAAACGGGCGAATAAAGTGTATCATGAAGGGGTGAGTGACTCTGGTTCGCTGTGCGCTGTATCTGCGCGGTGTGCCGCAGTTAATCAGGCGTGTGTGTGTGTGTGTGTTCCAGGAGCGGCTGAGCGGAGTTCTGGTCATCAGCACCAGAGACGCGCTGCAGCATCAGGGAGTTTCTCTCAGTCTGGAGGGGCTCGTGAACCTGCAGCTCAGCTCGAAGAGTGTGGGGGTGTTCGAGGCCTTCTACAACTCTGTCAAGGTCTCACTCACTTATTCTCACACACATACACTCATTTACTCTCTCTCTCACACACACACACACACACACACACACACACACACACACACACACACACACACACACACACACACACACTTGTGATCTGAAGTGCTGTAGAAGTAAATTGTGTGTGATGGTTCAGCCTATTCAGCTGGTGTCCAGCAACATGGAGGTGGTGAAACCAGGAAAAGTCCCGGCGGGAAAAACTGAGATCCCGTTTGAGTTTCCGCTGCAGGCCAAAGGCAGCAAGGTCCTGTACGAGACGTACCATGGCGTGTTCGTCAACATACAGGTGAGCGTCACACACACACACACACACACACTCGTGTTCCGTGATGATGCGCTGATGTGGTGTGTTGTGATTGTGTTGCAGTACACACTCCGCTGCGACATGAGACGCCCGCTGCTTGCTAAAGACCTCAGCAAGAGCTGTGAATTCATGCTGCACTCCCAGGTGAGACTCCTACATAAGTACGGCCGCGCGATGACAGTAACAGCGCTACCAGTACGGCCGCGCGATGACAATAACAGCGCTACCAGTACAGCCGCGGGACGACAGTAACAGCACTACCAGTACAGTACGGCCGCGCGATGACAATAACAGCGCTACCAGTATGGCCGCGCGATGACAGTAACACCGTTACAGTACGGCCGCGCTATGACAGTTACAGCGCTACCAGTACAGTACGGCCGCGCGATGACAGTAACACCATTACAGTACGGCCGCGCGATGACAGTAACACCATTACAGTACGGCCGCGCGATGACAGTAACAGCGCTACCAGTACAGCCGCGGGATGACAGTAACAGCGCTACCAGTACGGCCGCGCGATGACAGTAACAGCGCTACCAGTACAGCCGCGGGACGACAGTAACAGCACTACCGGTACAGCCGCGGGACGACAGTAACAGCACTACCGGTACGGCCGCGCGATGACAGTAACACCATTACAGTACGGCCGCGCGATGACAGTAACACCATTACAGTACGGCCGCGCGATGACAGTAACAGCGCTACCAGTACAGCCGCGGGATGACAGTAACAGCGCTACCAGTACGGCCGCGCGATGACAGTAACAGCGCTACCAGTACGGCCGCGGGATGACAGTAACAGCACTACCAGTACGGCCGCGGGATGACAGTAACAGCGCTACCAGTACAGCCGCGGGATGACAGTAACAGCGCTACCAGTACGGCCGCGCGATGACAGTAACAGCGCTACCAGTACGGCCGCCGGGATGACAGTAACAGCACTACCAGTACGGCCGCGCGATGACAGTAACACCGCTACCAGTACAGCCGCGGGATGACAGTAACAGCGCTACCAGTACGGCCGCGCGATGACAGTAACAGCGCTACCAGTACGGCCGCGGGATGACAGTAACAGCGCTACCAGTACGGCCGCGGGATGACCGTAACAGCGCTACCAGTACAGCCGCGGGATGACAGTAACAGCGCTACCAGTACGGCCGCCGGGATGACAGTAACAGCGCTACCAGTACGGCCGCGGGATGACAGTAACAGCACTACCAGTACAGCCGCGGGATGACAGTAACACCGCTACCAGTACAGTCGCGGGATGACAGTAACACCGCTACCAGTACAGTCGCGGGATGACAGTAACACCGCTACCAGTACAGCCGCGCGATGACAGTAACAGCGCTACCAGTACGGCCGCGCGATGACAGTAACAGCGCTACCAGTACGGCCGCGCGATGACAGTAACAGCGCTACCAGTACGGCCGCGGGATGACAGTAACAGCGCTACCAGTACAGTTGCGGGATGACAGTAACAGCGCTACCAGTACGGCCGCGGGATGACAGTAACACCGCTACCAGTACAGCCGCGCGATGACAGTAACAGCGCTACCAGTACGGCCGCGCGATGACAGTAACAGCGCTACCAGTACGGCCGCGCGATGACAGTAACAGCGCTACCAGTACGGCCGCGGATGACAGTAACAGCGCTACCAGTACGGCCGCGCGATGACAGTAACAGCGCTACCAGTACAGCCGCGGGATGACAGTAACAGCGCTACCAGTACAGCCGCGCGATGACAGTAACACCGTTACAGTACAGCCGCGCGATGACAGTAACAGCGCTACCAGTACAGCCGCGCGATGACAGTAACAGCCGCGCGATGACAGTAACAGCGCTACCAGTACAGCCGCGCGATGACAGTAACAGCGCTACCAGTACAGCCGCGCGATGACAGTAACAGCCGCGCGATGACAGTAACAGCGCTACCAGTACAGCCGCGCGATGACAGTAACAGCGCTACCAGTACAGCCGCGCGATGACAGTAACAGCGCTACCAGTACAGCTGCGGGATGACAGTAACAGCGCTACCAGTACAGTTGCGGGATGACAGTAACAGCGCTACCAGTACAGCCGCGCGATGACAGTAACAGCGCTACCAGTACAGCCGCGGGATGACAGTAACAGCGCTACCAGTACAGCCGCGCGATGACAGTAACAGCACTACCAGTACAGCCGCGCGATGACAGTAACAGCGCTACCAGTACAGCCGCGGGATGACAGTAACAGCGCTACCAGTACAGCCGCGCGATGACAGTAACAGCGCTACCAGTACAGCCGCGGGATGACAGTAACAGCGCTACCAGTACAGCCGCGCGATGACAGTAACAGCGCTACCAGTACAGTTGCGGGATGACAGTAACAGCGCTACCAGTACAGCCGCGCGATGACAGTAACAGCGCTACCAGTACAGTGCGGGATGACAGTAACAGCGCTACCAGTACAGCCGCGCGATGACAGTAACAGCGCTACCAGTACAGCCGCGGGATGACAGTAACAGCGCTACCAGTACAGCCGCGCGATGACAGTAACAGCGCTACCAGTACAGCCGCGCGATGACAGTAACAGCGCTACCAGTACAGCCGCGCGATGACAGTAACAGCGCTACCAGTACAGCCGCGCGATGACAGTAACAGCGCTACCAGTACAGCCGCGGATGACAGTAACAGCGCTACCAGTACAGCCGCGGGATGACAGTAACAGCGCTACCAGTACAGCCGCGCGATGACAGTAACAGCGCTACCAGTACAGTTGCGGGATGACAGTAACAGCGCTACCAGTACAGCTGCGGGATGACAGTAACAGCGCTACCAGTACAGCCGCGCGATGACAGTAACAGCGCTACCAGTATAGCCGCGCGATGACAGTAACAGCGCTACCAGTACAGCCGCGCGATGACAGTAACAGCGCTACCAGTACAGCCGCGCGATGACAGTAACAGCGCTACCAGTACAGCCGCGCGATGACAGTAACAGCGCTACCAGTACAGCCGCGCGATGACAGTAACAGCGCTACCAGTACAGCCGCGCGATGACAGTAACAGCGCTACCAGTACAGCCGCGCGATGACAGTAACAGCGCTACCAGTACAGCCGCGCGATGACAGTAACAGCGCTACCAGTACAGCCGCGCGATGACAGTAACAGCGCTACCAGTACAGCCGCGCGATGACAGTAACAGCGCTACCAGTACAGCCGCGCGATGACAGTAACAGCGCTACCAGTACAGCCGCGGATGACAGTAACAGCGCTACCAGTACAGCCGCGGGATGACAGTAACAGCGCTACCAGTACAGCCGCGCGATGACAGTAACAGCGCTACCAGTACAGCCGCGCGATGACAGTAACAGCGCTACCAGTACAGCCGCGCGATGACAGTAACAGCGCTACCAGTACAGCCGCGCGATGACAGTAACAGCGCTACCAGTACAGCCGCGCGATGACAGTAACAGCGCTACCAGTACAGCCGCGATGACAGTAACAGCGCTACCAGTACAGCCGCGCGATGACAGTAACAGCGCTACCAGTACAGCCGCGCGATGACAGTAACAGCGCTACCAGTACAGCCGCGCGATGACAGTAACAGCAGTCTGTGTTTCAGCCGCAGAAGCCCAAGCTCTCGCCGAGCCCAGTGGAGTTCAACATCACTCCAGAGACGCTGCAGAACGTCAAAGAGGTGTGTAGGTCTCACTCTCGTCTCTGAGGGACTATAACAGGCTCATGTACAGTACTGGCCAAAGGCTCAATCCCAATTCACCCCTTGGCCCTACCCCTTGTTTTCGAGTGTACCCCTTGGCCCTTAAAACGGAGTTACAAGGGGTTGAAATATTCCCCTACGAAATGGAACAACCCTTCATGAACCCGATACGTCATCAGTCGTCGGCGATGGCTCTGAGTTTTTCTCCATGACAACAACTGACAATCAGCGCAGCTGCTCTGAACTTTGAATAAACATGATGATTACAACATCCCTTCCTCGAAATGTATGTCTTTTCTGATCAGAAAGGTAATTTATTATACCATTTCTTAATTTAAACGACTATAGTGTTATTATAAGAGTAAATAAAGCGCGTGGTGGAATCATTTGGCGCTAAATTTAAATGTTTAACCGTTTGCGATCCATCTCGCTGGTGATTTGATGCATTCCGTGAACTTTCTCTTAGCCCTCAGTTTGGAGTGTGCCTCTGAAAAATCTCCGTTTCGAGGGCTATGTAGCCGTCCCCCTCGATCTCATGAAGAATCGGGACACCCTACCCCTAGACGTGAACGCGCAAAACGGAGGGGTAGGGCTAAGGCGAAGGGCCAAGGGGTGAATTGGGATTGAGCCAGTCACGTCCAGCCTTCACCCTTTATTCAAATGTTATTCAGAATGTGGGTCATGAACTTTTCTGAGGTGCTCCTATAATTCTATCATGATTTTTACATCTAAAGTGGTCATAATTTATAAGTAAGTCAATTTTAGCCAACATCCTATTATAGTATTTTGAATAAAGAAATTGTTAAAATAATTGGGACAAATCATCCAAACAGAAAAACGCATATTGTTCCCTCATGTCCGTGTGGTTTTGTTCAACAGAGGACCTCGTTACCCAAGTTCCTGATCAAAGGTCACCTGGATGCCACCAACTGTGCGATCACACGACCTCTGACCGGCGAACTGGTGGTGGAAAGGTCAGAGGTCGCCATCAAGAGTATCGAGCTGCAGCTAGTCCGTGTGGAGACCTGCGGTGAGAAACACAGATCTGATGTTCAGCTTTAAAACCACCAACAGTGACAGATCAGTGTAATGTGTGTGTGTTCAGGTAGTGTTGCATCAGCGTGTTCAGTGTAATGTGTGTGTTCAGGCTGTGCGGAGGGTTACGCTAGAGACGCCACAGAGATCCAGAATATCCAGATAGCTGAAGGCGACGTCTGTCACGGTCTCTCCATCCCCATATATATGGTGTTTCCTCGGCTCTTCACCTGCCCCACACTCGAAACCACCAACTTTAAAGTCGGTAAGGAACTCCTTTTTACAGCTGTGATGAATACTGGGTTTGTTTTTGGTTGTGTGTGTGTATATATATATATATATATATATATATACACACACACACACATTACAAAGTCCATTACTGCATTTATAGATTTACTTTCTTCCCTTCTAGAATTTGAGGTGAACATTGTGATTGTTCTTCACGACGATCATTTGATAACGGAAAACTTCCCCCTGAAGCTGGTCAGAGTTTGAGTAACACACACCTGAGGCCGTCGGAGCCGACACAAGAAGCTTTTCTCTTTACCATCAATGAAAATATGCTCTTCTCACAGTCAATCACATTAAAATACTTTTTTGATCATGAGTGACTATGGATATTTGCTGCTGTAAAGGAAGTGTTTATAAAAGTCATCGCTCACCCAAGATGCTGTCTTATTTTTAAATTACTTTTTTTCATGTCACTTGCAGAGTAAGCATAACATTTATTTACTGGAATGTTATGGATATATATATAGATAATATATATAATGTAAAGGCCTATATGATGATGTTAAATGCTATGTAAATTAATTATTCAGATTATTTTCATTATCTGATAAACCCACAAGTCTGTGTTTCGTATGAAGATCTTTGTGTTTATTCATTATATAAATATTCAAGAGACGTGGTATCACGCATTTGAAGGGTTCTTTAGTTTGTCATTTAGTTTATTGATTGTATTTTAAATTATTAATATTCAGTATTTAAAATTATTAATATTTAAATTAAATACATTTAAATTATATAATTTAATTAATATATAATTTTACAAAATATAATTATGATTTAATTCCGGTGTGGAAACAAGAAGCGAACATCTGAAACAAACACAGCAGGACTGTTTTTTGGTCAAGTGTTTAATAAAGTAAAATTAAGGTAAAATAGCAATAAAAGGTAAAAGTGGGAAGAGTAAAATCAGTTCATGCAAATGAACTTTATTCCAGGAATGAGAAACACAACTGTGTCCTAGAAATAAAACATCACCGATTGGTCCCCAAAGCCTCCTACACCCCAAAGCAAAGTGTCCACAGAATGTGTGCTAATACAGATGAACACACTGGTGTGTCTGTGAATAAAGCCGTGAACACACACTCGTGTGTCCGTGAATAAAGCCGTGAACACACACACTGGTGGTTCAGTGGAAGGCAGTCGCGGGTGTGTGAGTCTTGCGCTGTCGTCCGGGAAGCAGAGGAAAGTCCTCGGGGAGGAGAGCGTGTTCTCGACAGGTGGGACACGTGCTCTGCTCCTTCAGCCACGACTTTATACACTGAAACCACACACACACACACCGTCACTCAGTCTGCACGTAAACGCACATCACACTAGCCCTCAGACGACGCTCTGACCTCTCTGTGGAAACTGTGGCGGCACTCCAATACACACATCTCCTCAGCACTCATGTCCTCGTGGCAGATGATGCACGGGTCCTCCATGTTCAGCTGTGACACACACACACACACACACACGCGGGTTAGACCAACACGATGATGGACACAGAGAGCTAAATGAATGCACGGCTTCAGTGAGTTAACGAAACTTTAGAAACAGT